TAAAGTCAATAGGCACAGTCCCAGTTCTGGTCTAAGTCCAGGGGTCAGTCCAGATCCAGACTTTCAARTCCAAATTCAGGCCAGGAGGCCTCAGCAGCAGTTGAACTTTATTGGGACTCTACTGGGACACATGCAATGCAGGGTCTGGGACAAGGAAAGAGGCTGAATTGAGCCAATGCAGACCCAGCGAGGAGTATAAAGGAGGCAGCCAGCCTCATTCCTCGCCAGATTCTCCACTGGCTGCAATGCGTGGAAGTGCTGGTGCACTTGTGCGCTGAGTCAGGAGGAGCAGCGCTGGAGGGAGGAAGAAGCCTGTACGCTGGAAGTGAATGCAGCCATAGCTGCCCAGCGAGTTAGCATTAGTAGTAGAGGGTTAGTATGAAGCTATGAGCAGTATCCAGAGTAGATCCTCACGAGTATTGAAGAGTGTGTATGCATCATAGAGAGGAGGGGATTGAGGCTAAGAGTGTACATTCAAGGTTGGCTATGGAAGATACTTACCTGAGTTGGATGTGACCTGCAGAGGTGGCGCTGATGAGTGGTGATCACATTGTTGATTTGGAGACTATCTGCAGGGGTAGCACTGATTCACTGGAAGGCATATTGATGAGTTGAGCAGAGATTTGTGTTGCGCTGATGAGCGCTGGACTCAGGGAAACTTTGAAACACTTTGTAATCATATTTCTGATAATATAAGCTGTGAGACTCGGTCCTCTTCTTCTCTACCTTTGTCTATGGTCAGACTACTGTTCATTGTGTGTGGAAGATGATGCATGACATGTACACATCTGCATAAGATGGTCCCCAGGACCCATGCACGTGCACCGTCCTCCAATTAATAGCATCATCAACTATCTGTAGAGATGTTTTGGGTGTGATTCAGCAGCACACATTCTAAGTATTTCTAGTATTTTCTAGTACCCTATCCTAACCGTCGAGTTCTCTTCTTAACCTGAGAAGAGCGCTCTGCTTGACTGACTTTTCTCTGTGAGGTGCAAGTGGATTTCAACCTGTAGAGCAAACTCAATCGTGGCTGATCTGATGGGAGTCGGGCGAAGGCCCTCACTGATGAGGTGGAGCACATGATGATTTGGGTAGTGTACACATACGCATGCGCTGTATACGCTCTGCTCAGCAAGCGCATTATTCGAAGGGCTGGGGGCCACGCCCTCCTGTTGCGACATTGAATCATTCTTGAGCCATCGCCCTGGTGCGCTGTTAAATAATTATTGAGACATTCAGTGAGTTGACTTTATACCCCCTTCAAGAAATTGAAGACTGCCCTCGGTAACTAACTACCCTGTTCTTCTTCTTTTTCCTTTATTTTTTTAATAAAAAAATACAGTCTGTTTTCTCCTCATGTGGGGAACAGCTGTATTGTTTGCTATCCTATTTTCTCTCTCTCAATTTTTTCCGTATCGTCTATCCTGACAAGCCTTTCATTTTCACTGCATAGTGACCCAACCCAGTATGGGATAGGGACAGGCGCAGTCCATCTCCAATCGAAGAGTGACAAGTTAAAGCACCAGTACATGGGCAGCTGGGCCGCGGGTTTGACACCTCAAATTCTTGAGGCGCGCAAGGAAAACGGGGCCGCCGATCGAAGTTATCAACGGCCGGCCTACTGTTTGACGTTGCGGCCTCATTTTCTTGTGGCGACAAGTTTCGGACTGCAAGGCTGGGGCCGTGTACTTGTGGTTGAAGAGAACTTGAGACCTGTTGAGTACATGTCCATAAAGATGTAATATGGAAAACTATCAGCATCGACTTATGAGAGGGAGTTGTTTGTTCAAGAAGAGTCTTGACTTTTCCAAGTCAAATCTTCCATTTGTTCAAAAAGACCAAACAGTGTTGACTTTTTTTCAAGTCAAATCTTCCATTTGTTCAAAAAGAGTGTTGACTTTTCAAAAAAAGTGTTGACTTTTCAAAAAACGTGTTGACTTTTCAAAAAGAGTGTTGACTTTCCAGTGCTTTGCTGGAGGCTTTGGGCTCTATATGGCTTCGAAACACTGGAGGCACTATCTTCATGGGAGGCACTTCGAAGAGATGTCTGATGGAGAGACTCCAATGGATGGAGACACAAACCACACATATCCGATACACTGGGAAAAAGAGACAAATGCAAGTCATTCACATGTTTGACTTACACCCATAGTTGACTCGTCAGAAAAAGGGCCAGTTGAATGTGGTTGCTGATGCGCTATGGAGAGGAGCGGAGTCACAGCGGACTACCTCGGTACTCCAGAAACCGAGTTTGGGATAGAAGACGATGAACGTCAGTCGATAATCGGCGTTTACGAAAGGGATAATTAAACTTAGGAATATCATCAAACAAATCCTAGACAAGGAAAAAAGGATGCCAAGTCAGGAGTCAACAAAGACGGGGGGGTGTTGTTGCTCCTTAGCTGAGTAGCGTCCTGTTCGCGATCGGTGACCGAACCCCAATGTTCGTGACCAAACGTGAACGAGTGCCCAAACCCCCCGAACGCAAACATATAAATAAAAATAAAATAAAATAAGTTCTCTGAAAATTCTGAAAAAAATACATATTATGTAACATACAAAACATAAAATACATATATCGTCAAATAGAACTGCCCGGTAAACCGTAGGCAGAGAGGGAGAAGAGGGCAACAAACGAGGGGCTGTGACAATAAATATATATATCGTCACAAACAGAACTGC